CTTCTCCCTCTCCCACTCCCCCTGCTTGTGTTCCTGCTCTCGCTATCTCTCTCTCTGTCAAATAAATAAATAAAATCTTTAAAAAAAAAAAAAGTTAAAAATAGAACTACTCTACTGTCCATCAATTGCACTACTAGGTATTTACCCAAAGGATACAAAAATACAGATTCAAAGGGATACATGCATCCTGATGTTTATAGCAGTATTAACAACAATAGCCAAATTATGGAAACAGCCCAAGTGTCCATTGACTGATGAATGCGTAGAGAAGTTGTAGTATACATACATGCATAAATATAATGGAATATTACTTAGCCATGAAAAAGAATTAAATCTTGCCATTTGCAACCATGTGGATAAAGCTAGAGAGTATTATGTTAAATGAAACAAGTCAGAGAAAGACAAATACCATATGATTTCACTCATATGTGGAATTAAAGAAACAAAACAGATGAACATGGCGGGGGGGCGGGAAGAGAGAGAGAGGGAAACCATAAAACAGACTCTTAACTCTAGAGAACAAACTGAGGGTTGCTGGGAGGTTGGTAAAGGGATAGGTGGGTGATGGGTATTTTCACTTGTGTTGAGCCCTGGGTGTCAGATGCGAATGATGAATCCCTGAATCCTACACCTGAAACTAATATTACACTGTATGTTACCTAACTGGAACTTAAATAAAAACTGGATGAAAAAAAAGAATAAAATACCTAGGACTGAATTTTACCAAGGAGATGAAAGTCCTGTACTCTGAAAACTATGACATTGATGAAAGAAATTGAAGACAAATTTTTCAATTAATAAATGGAAATAAGTGAAAATAAATGAAAAGATATACTATGCTAATGGATTAGAAGAATTAAGGTTGTTAAAATGTCCATATTACTCAAAGCCATCTATAGATTCATTGCAATCCCCATTAAATTACCAAAGGTGTTTTTCACAGAGCTAGAACAAGGAGTTTCAAAATTTGTAGGAACCACAAAAGACTCTGAAAGTCAAAGCAATCTTGAGAAAGAACAATGCTGGAGGTTTTAGTCTCCCTGATTTGAAACTATATTACAAAGCTGTAGTAATCAAAACAGTATGGTACCTTTATGAGAATAGACAATGGAATGGAATAGAGATTGTAGAAATAAACCCACTCATATATAATCAGTTAATCTATGATAAAGACGGCAAGAATATGCAATGGGGAAAAGACAATCTTTTCAATAAATTGTGTTGGAAAAACTGCAAAAGAATGAAACTGGACCACTTTTTTACACTACATACAAAAATAAATTCAAAATGGATTAAAGAAGTGAATGTAAAACCTGAGACCATAAAACCTCTAGAAGATAACATAGTTATCTATGACATTAGTCTAAGCATTATTTATTTATTTATTTATTTTGGCCCAATATTCTCAGTTAAGGGTAACAAAAACTAAAATAAAGAAATGGACTTACATCATAAAAAGCTTTTGCACAGTGAAAAAAACCACCAACAAAATGAAAACGAGACCTATGGAATGGGAGAAGATGTTTGCAAATCACACATCCAATAAGAGGTTCAGATCCAAAATATATAAAGAACTTACACAACTTAATATATAAAAAAACAAACAACCTGATTATAAAATGGGCAGAGGACTTGAATAGAAGATATACAGATGGCCACAGGCCAATGAAAAGATGCTCAATATCGTTGAGCATCAGGGAAATGTAAATCAAAAC